TAGCAGCTCCTTTTCTATTTTGCTCAAACTGTCTTTGTCGCTGCGGCAGTAGAGAATGATCTCACCTGGGATGCTGCTTTTCAGCTCTTCGTAGATCTCTTTGGCTTTGTTGATAGTTTCACAGATCACCAGGGCTGCTCTTCCATCTCTGTATGAATTTGGGGAAATCTGAGCCATAACCACAAGTTTTATTTCAGATTTCCACTCTTCAGCTGAGGTCTTCAGAGTACCTTTTACCTCAAATAACTTCTTCCTGTTGAATGTTGGCATTTTGCAGGCAGACAGATTTGGATATAGCTCCTGCAAAAACAGAATGTCTGCTTTGCTCCCAAGTGTCCCTGTTGTTCCATATATTTTCCCATGGTACTTTTCAAAAAAGGAGATGTTAGACACGTAGTTTGTCACTGTTGAAATTGTGCTCAGTTTGATTTGGTGTTTAATCTCAACAAACTGCTGCAGACCATCTCCCCACTTCTTATTCAGTTCTATTATACCAGTTGACCTGAAATCCACTGGACAGACGTTGTCGTTTTCTACAACATATTCCCGTCCTTGCTTCAGCTGCATTGCCAGAAAGGCATTCTGAACCCACATGACACTTTCTTCTCCACCAGATTCTTCAAGAATCCAGGAATGCTGATTTTGTCTTCATTGTTTGTGCATGGGGTGTACTGAATCTTCTCTGAGATTAATTCTGCAAAGGGCTTGATGAGAATTTCTTCTGAATCATAGAGAGTACAACACAAGCCTTCCTCCAAGACAAGAAATTTAAGCTCTGGAATGTCCTCGTTTTGGTACGGGCTGCGTTTTCTGAGGCAGAGCAATCCCTTGTCGTCTAAAGTGTAAACAGTGAAACCATAGGGGACATAGTCCTCAATTTCTTGGAAAAACTTTACCACAGCATCCTGACTCACAGTTTTCAGTTTGATCAGAAGTTCATCCTTTTCACTTTTGTAGATATCCTCTGTAAATCCACTTGGCACAGTGTTGGTTTCTTCAGCAATATGTAAAATGTCCATTGGATCATTAATGTCAGTTTCTTCTGTGTCTATTGATTCAAAGATGGCCTTGAAGAATGAAACAGGAGGACCCCGGACAAATGTCTGGTCTCCTGTAGACAGGAAGCCGTACTGGCTGACATGGCCCCAGATCATGGCCAGGATGATGTTCAGGTGCTGCATGCAGACCATGGTGCTGGACAGGTAGGTCAGCTGCACTCCCTGATCCAGCAGCAGGGAGTCCACTTCGTCGATTATGATGCACTGATAGCTGCGATCAGGCCTCACATCCTTCATCTCAAATATCTGACGAAGGTGATCTGCAGCGAAGGCTTCGATAGTGCCATAGACTACGTCCTTCTGGTAGCATTCTTTGCGATCTTTATCTTGGGTTTTATTTGTGTTTGTGTCAGCTGTCAAGCCAAAGTACTTGTAGAAGTTGGTCCATTCTTCTGCATCTCTTTGACATAACACAGAAGAGCTGGACACCACATCTACTTTTTCACCCCTAAGCACACGCAGCACTGCAAACATTGCTATGACACAAGACTTCCCTTCTCCAGTGCCCATCTCCAGGAGAATCCCAGTGTCAGACAAGGCCAAGAGGCACCAGCTGGTCATCTGGGTGGTTCTGGGCCACCACTTCCCTTCAGCCTGGCACAGGTTTACAGCATTGCATAAGACTGCCAGGACCTCCTGAAGGTCTTCTGTGTCCGTGCTGTGACTCAGATTCCTAGCTCGCTGTACATCTGTGTGGTTTTTAATTTCACCGGTTTCGATCAGGTTTGTTACATGAGTTACTACACTGTATGATTTACTCAGTGTTTGTTCATCGATGTCTTTCATCTGCCATATTTCATCAAACAGAGTGTCAAGGCTTTTTGTTTTCTCATCGCTCAGGCTCTTTTCTAAATGCTGGATCAGATTCTCAGTTCTAGTTGACTCAAAGAGTTTAAGGAGAGATTGGTTGTCCTTGTCTGTCCACGTGGAAGACACCTGATACGTTGCCATCAAGTGTAAAATCTTCATGATGGAAATACAGTCTTCATCATGATGGTGGTCAGTTAATACTCCAAGGAGGTTTAAGGTCTCAACGGGGGACCAAAATCCAAGATTTGAAACCATCTGGAAGAGTTCCTTGATTTGTGCTGTTGAGTCTTGGAACTGCTCTGCACAGTCAAATAAAATCTCCAAACACCATTTGCCTGCAGGAGATGTCCTGTTTTTCTCAGCTTCTGTTTCTCTAGTAACCACTCTCAGGAGATTCTCAAGAAAGGTCAGAACAAAGACCTCATTAGAAGGAAGTTCCTTTCCAGTAACTTTCTGTGAGATGGTGATGATTTTATTGTCAGTGTTTGTGTCGTTGTTTAGGTTGGTGTGGAGCACCTGAAAAAGAGCCTTAAGAAACATGTGTCTCAGTTCCATATTGTCACTCTGAAATTTACCCATGAGGCTTTGCAGGGCCTCTGCAGCAAACACCAGGGAATCATTGTCCGTGAGCCTGGAAAGTTCCAGATTATGTGAAGAACTGAGACTTTGTTGTTCAATGATAAATCCACGTCTAAGCTGAGGGTTCCCTGTTCCCATCCCCTCGATGCCGTACTGAAAGTAATCAGAGATGAAGTCACTGATGGTACCGTACACAATGTCTGCTTCATAGACCTCCCTGTAAGATGCATTTGTTTTCTTCATGTTTGTGTTGAGAGAGATTCCCAGGTGCTTGTAGAAGTCAGACCACTCCTGAGTTCGCTCCTCTGAGGGAACATCAGCGCTCAGCACAATGTCCAGTTTGTTTCCCATGCAGACTTGTGTGGCTGCAAACATGGCTGTGACACATGGGTCTTCTTCCACACCAACCAGTTGTAGCTCTCCACTCTTCTGAGTCAGCACCAACGCACACCACCGCAGCATCTGCCTCACTGTGGGCCACCAGCCTTTGGTGTCAAAAACTGCTTTGCAGAGCTGAGACAGAGACTTCTGTAGGTCGTCTGCATTCAAGGGATCACGTGTGAAGGAATCTTTCACAAATGGTGCATCTTTAGGTGCATTTTCTGCGTACTGCAGGACGCCAGTGGTAATGTTTTTTATCATATCAACCACAGAATCATCCAAATTCCATAACATCTTCACTTCTGCTAGAGCTGCAGGTAGACTGCTCTCATCGTTCCTTCTGAGAGTATTTAGGAAATCCTGATGGAATCTCTCAGGGCCAGCAAAGTCCAGAGCCTGGACGAGAGTGTGTCCGGACTCATCCGTCCACTCTGGTGATATGTCATAAGCTTGCACCAGCTTAAGGACTTCAGTTATTGAAACATCCTCTGCATATTTCTGTGACAGTGCTTTGAGCAGAGTCACTGTCTCCGTTGGGGTCCATTGGTTTCTTTGCACAAGTCTGAGGAGCATCTCAGTGGATTCTGAGTGGGTTTCTTTGCCGGTTAGATGTGTGAGTGTGGATAAGAGAAGCTTCAAGCACTGGATTTCTATCTTTAAAATGAACACAGAGGCTCTTCCCACTACATTCTGCAGTGATGATGCGAGGGTGCTCAGGAATTCTATAAGACAGAGGTTCTCAGTGGAAAGCTTATCTCCAGCCCACTGTTTGGCTATGAGGACTGCGTCAGTATCAGAGCTGCTATAGTCAGTGAAAAGTGCATCAGGTTCAGGTACAGGGCTTGAGTCAGCAGGAGACTCTCAAAAGCATTGCGTGCTGATTGGCTGATGGAGTCCACCAGGGACTGCACCTGATTGGAGATGCTTTGTAGGGGAACTCCCTCGGGGATCTCCAGAGACAGGGCACACAGCTCTGTGATGAACACCTGAGTGTGCTGCAGAGTGCTGAGGGACGGGGGAGCACTGATCCATTCATCAAACAGAAGTTTGTCCAGGACTGACAGGATCTCCCGCTGCTGGTCTGCTGTCAGCTGAGTAGACTCAGATCTGGAACAGGGGAACTGCATTTCTTAGAGAGGATTTCTAGAAGCTCATCCCTGCCTGATTCATACTTAGCCTCAAACTCATCCAGATGCCACATCTGAACATCTCGCTTGGACTCATATTCTTCTGAAATGTTGCTGCTCTGTTGTTTCTCATGCTGCTCTTTGGCTTGTTGCTGCGATTCTTGTAGTCTTTGATCCAGTTTTTGTCTCTCCTCTTCTCTTCTTCTTTCCTCCTCTCTCTGTCTCTCCTCTTCTCTTCTCCTCTCCTCCTCTCTCTGTCTCTCCTCCTCTCTTCTCCTCTCCTCCTCTCTCTGTCTCTCTTCTTCTCTTCTCCTCTCCTCCTCTCTCTGTCTCTCCTCCTCTCTCTGTCTCTCCTCTTCTCTCTGTCTCTCCTCCTCTCTCTGTCTCTCCTCTTCTCTTCTCCTCTCCTCCTCTCTCTGTCTCTCCTCCTCTCTCTGTCTCTCCTCTTCTCTCTGTCTCTCCTCCTCTCTCTGTCTCTCCTCTTCTCTTCTCCTCTCCTCCTCTCTCTGTCTCTCTTCTTCTCTTCTCCTCTCCTCTTCTCTTCTCCTCTCCTCCTCTCTCTGTCTCTCCTCTTCTCTTCTTCTTTCCTCCTCTCTCTGTCTCTCCTCTTCTCTTCTCCTCTCCTCCTCTCTCTGTCTCTCTTCTTCTCTTCTCCTCTCCTCCTCTCTGTCTCTCCTCCTCTCTCTGTCTCTCTTCTTCTCTTCTCCTCTCCTCCTCTCTCTGTCTCTCTTCTTCTCTTCTCCTCTCCTCCTCTCTCTGTCTCTCCTCTTCTCTTCTCCTCTCCTCCTCTCTCTGTCTCTCCTCTCTCTGTCTCTCCTCTTCTCTTCTCCTCTCCTCCTCTCTCTGTCTCTCCTCTTCTCTTCTTCTTTCCTCCTCTCTCTGTCTCTCCTCCTCTCTCTGTCTCTCCTCTTCTCTTCTTCTTTCCTCCTCTCTCTGTCTCTCCTCCTCTCTCTGTCTCTCTTCTTCTCTTCTCCTCTCCTCCTCTCTTCGTCTCTCCTCCTCTCTTCTTCTCTCCTCCTCTCTCCTCTGTCTCTCCTCCTCTCTTCTCCTCTCCTCCTCTCTTCTCCTCTCCTCCTCTCTTCTCCTCTCCTCCTCTCTCCTCCTCTCCTCCTCTCTTCTCCTCTCCTCCTCTCTCCTCATTTGCTCTTGATCCCTGATTGGTTTATTAAAGCAGTATTCACACTCGTACATATTATCGGCGCCAACTGGTCTGTAGTATTCACCTCCATTGAACACATAGACGTACCGCCCATGAACAGTACTTTGGTAGAGATGATCGAAGGATGTGCACGGAGGCAGGACTTTATCACACTTGCAGCATCTCAGGCGGTCGCCCATGTGACATTCTGATGGTACGTTCCCCATTTTAATGATTTATTCAGCAGTTAAATGGTGATTTTCATTTGTGACCAGTGTTTTCTGAAACATAAAACAGCATGTATTTAAATGACTTTATGGTACAAAAACCAACTCATCACAGGAACTCCTTCTGCTTTGATTTTTGGTGAAACGGAAAGAAACCTAATAAAAATATAAGGTAGATCACCTGTGCATACCACGTATAAAGGCAGCGTCCTTACAGCAGCTGCGTGGGTTCGATTCCAGCCTGAGGCCCTTTGCTGCCTGTCATCCCCCGTCTCTCTCCTATCTCTCTCCAACTGTCACTGTCATAATAAAGCAGAAATGGAAAAAAATAAGGCCAAAATGATCAAATAATTATTTCCCCCCCACAAGCATTAAACCATTTTTGAATGCTGATTACTCACTGACGGACATAACGCTGTGTAATTTTCAGGACTCAACAATGGTTCACAGACTTTTACATAACAAATAAATATACAATCAGCTTCTCAAGATGTGAAGCCAACATTATGATAGCTATGATTACCAAAATGTGCATCATATTAAATCCACTGTACTAAATGAACATACATGTACACATGAGCTTGTTTTACATGTAATATAAATTAAAAGGGGTGGTGATGGCGCAATGGATAAGACTATGCCTTTGGTGTGAGAGACCCGAGTTCAATCCCCCACTGTGACCCATACACCAATGTGTCCCTGAGCTTAACCCCTAGTTGCTCCAGAGGAGTGCGACGTCTGACATGTATAGCAATTGTAAGTCGCTTTGGATAAAAGCGTCAGCTAAATGAGTAAATGTAATGTTAGACAAAATGGGTTTTCGTGTTGGCAGGAGGGAAAGGCTTTGGTCAAGGGATGTAATGATCTTGGGGATGTAAATGGTCTTAGTGTCATTCAATTCAGCCACAATTCCACATGATGAAAATAATTTAGATCAGATTAGGGGCAGGATGATGCTGACGATGCTCGAGAACATGACAAGAAGATTTTTAGCAGTGTTTAAGTTAAATATTTAATGCGGAAACATATGTGCATTGGGTCTGGGGGTCCTCTCCCAGAAGATTTTGAGCATTAAACTCAATTTCCTGCATTATGGACACATTTTCTGCTCCAGTTTACCAAATTACTAATTTAAGTGTTCAGTTCTGTGTTTTCAGTTAAATCTTGTTACATGCGTGCTTTCTTTTTAAAGATGTAGTCTTCTGTTGCTGATTGAGTTTAATTTGTTAATAAAAATCTTTATTTTGGTTGCACAGAATCTGTGCAGGATAAATTATTTGGACCCCCAAAGTACCCTCTGAAAGTCTGCTAGAAGATGTGAATGCAGCACTACATACTATCCCTACTGAAGCCATAACAACAGTGATCCTAGAGATGCTTGGCTATCAGATGAGCCATAAGATCACACAGCAACAGTGATCCTTGCTATAAGATGAGCATTTTTAAAAACAGTTATATAAATAACTAATTTACATTACACTGGCCTCAAAGGTGCCTCGGCCCACCAGGCATTTGCCCGGCATGCCAGATTACCAATCCAGCCCTGTTGGTTATCTATTACCAATTTGTCAGTCTGGATCTTTAAGTCTCACAGGATCACAGCTCGGTCATTCAACTACCTTAGGAGGTGTCTTCCGTTTTGACCTTGGGACTTCCAGCCCATACTCATGGCAGATGTTCCTGTACACCAGGGGTATTCAATTAGAATTTCCCGAAGCAAAGGTCATCATAACGACTAACTTGCGTTATCATTCAGTGCCATAACGTATAGTTGTATCAACATATGTTTTTAGTCAAACACTGACAATATTTCAACAATATTCAGGTTTCACATCAAACTTGAGGGATAATAATAAAAAACTACTACTTAAGTAAACTAAAATAAAGTGCTTCATTTCAGGAAAAAAATCAAAGTGTAGCTTGAAGTGATGAAGTGTAGTCTTAACCAATTTTATAATAAACACTCAACACATAAAATGAACAGCTGTAATACCTCCTCTTCTCTTTCATTCCCTCTTACAGAGCTACCACTTCCCTACTTTCTCTTGTTCAGTGAGAAACGTGAGCTCTAGCTTGTCCTGCCAGCTAGCATTGGAGCTATATGAGAGATTCTGGTTCTGAACTGCCGTGGGAGGAATGTACATGTAAGAATCTGTACATTCTTCATTAAAAGCCATGTGAAATCTCTTTTCCCTTTCGCCTCCTCTCTCCCTGTGTGTTTCCAAAACGACTCCCTTTGTATCGCACTCGCGATGCCTGTTGGAATGCACAGATTTGATTGGCTGAGCAGCCTCACATGAGACGATTAGAGCACATGCGATTGGTCTGTGAGTTTCCTGGACCGTTAAATCAGTACAGTAAATGCTAGAAAAGCTGCGCGGGTTAAAAGAAACGCTCAGTCACGGGGTAGTAATTCTCATTAATAAACCGGCTGTAGGTCGGCGGCCAGGAGAGGACGGCGGCTGGGTCCGGATCCAGGCTGCGGTCCGCCTGTTAGTGAACTCTGCTGTACACTATGACGGCTGCCTGGTTATGGCGTTCCATGTACGCTCTAACTGCTTGCATCTTATACCCTACTGTTATGTGCTGTACTGTCTCAGGGGCATCCTTGCACAGTCTGCACCTGGGGTCCTGCCTGGTGTGGTAGACCCCAGCCTCTATTGATCTTGTACTGAGTGCCTGTTCTTGTGCCGCCATGATTAGTGCTTCTGTGCTGTCCTTCAGTCCAGCCTTTTCCAGCCACTGGTAGGATTTCTTGATATCAGCCACTTCTATTGGTCTGTGGTACATGCCGTGCAGCGGCTTGTCCCTCCATGAAGGTCCTTCGTCTTCTTTGTCCTCACCCTCGGGTTTCTGCTGCCTGAGGTATTCACTAAGCCCTTCATCTTTGGGAGCCATCTTCCTGATGTACTCCTGGATCTTTGTCGTTTCATCCTTGATAGTGGTCTTGACACTCACTAGTCCTCGGCCCTAACCCTAACCCTACATGCATTGTGAGGAGTTTTCTTGTCTTGATGTCAGTAGCCTGTTCTCCTCCTTTGGCCAGTTTATTATACCAGCAGGGTATCCAATGACTAGCAGGGTGTATGTGTTGATGGCTCGGATCTTGTTTTTCCCATTCAGCTGACTTTTCAGGACCTGCCTTACTCTCTGTAGGTTTTTGGCTGTGGCGGACTTCCTTGCTGCCTCCTCATGGTTTCCGTTAGCCCCCCCAAGGTATTTGTAGCTGTCCTGAACATCTGCAATGTGGCCTTCTGGTAGTTCAACCCCCGCGGTTCTGATCATCTTCCCTCTTTTTGTTACCATGCGGCCAGTCCGAACGACATTCCCGTGTTGTTGCTGTAGATCCTGGTAGTGTGGATCAGTGAGTCGATGTCTCGCTCATTTCTGGCATACAGCTTGATGTCATCCATGTAGAGGAGTCGACTGACGGTTGTTCCACTTTGGAACCGGTATCCGTAGCCAGTCTTTGTGATGATCTGGCTGAGGGGGTTCAGGCCTATGCAGAACAGCAGCGGGGATAGTGTATCACCTTGGTGCCGCACTTGATGGTGACTTGTGCAATTGGCTTTGAGTTGGCTTCCAGACTTCTTTCCACTGCCCCATTCTTGATGAGTTCTTGATGAAGGCTATAAGCTTTCTGTTGATCTTGTACATTTCCAAGCATTCCAGTATCCATGTATGTGACATTGAGTCGTAGGCTTTCTTGTAGTCAATCCAGGCGGTGCACAGATTTGTCTGCCTGGTCTTGCAGTCTCGAGTGAGTGAGTTAGAGGCAGGTTATTGGCAGAGGGAGGGTCGTTTACGCTGTGATGGCCACTGCCAGGCAGAAGAGGAGGCATGTGATAGCGAAACAGTGTGACAAATTTACCGTGATGGGCCGAGTGAGAGAGAGAGAGAGAGAGCAGGAGGAGAGTGGAGGTGAAGCGGTAAGCATGGAGTAGCTCAGCCTATAGGGAGGGGGCAGGGAGGGAGGGTCATTTACACTGGGGACATGTAGCCACCACTTTTTGAAAGTTTTTGCTGATTACTGCATTATATTTTATTATATTTTTACATTGTAAATTGTCACCTGCCACCTGAATTTTGTGCTTCCCTTTATAAAAATAGACATTTCCACCACAAATTAGTGCAGAAAATGTCTCCAGAATGCAGGACATTAAGGGACCAGGGACCACCTGACCCATCTATTGAATATTTCAACTATAAATATTTTTTCTAAATAGTAGGTCTATTAAAATATAATCATGTCTTGTAGTCATGGACACCAATCTTGTGCAATGTCACGTCTCAGTTTCATCACACCCCTTATATGACCCCCTAAATGGAACGATGGTGTATTGGTGAGGGGGTTTTTGTGATTTTGCATAATGTCTTGTTTTCTTGTTACAGTTACCCCCGTGTGTGGAGTCACTGCCTGCCTGCCTGCCCGCCCATTGGGTTACCTGCCTGTTTGCTCGCTGCCCGTTAGCCAGTCTGTCTGCCCTGACGGAGCTCCAGAACGCCTTCGTCGGATTCCCTCTGAGCCTGCAATCCCCCGCTTGCTCCCTAACCCTCTGGCCTTCCCTGAGCACTTTAATAAATCTTGCCTGCGTTCTTGTTCTTGCCTCAGCTGGAAGTAATGATGACTGTGAATTATTTTTATCTTATTTTACCAATAAGGTGGTGTCAATCAGAGCCTCTATTACCCCCGCGGCCTCTTACTCAGAGGTTCCTCACCAGCAACAACAGAGTTTTAACCAGTTTTATCCCATCGACTTGTCTGAGCTTTTATAAACAGTAACACAAAGATTCTAGAAAGAATTGTGTCCAAACAGCTGCTCACTGTACTGGAAAATAACAAAATATTTGAAAACTTCCTGGTTTTAGGAAGTACCACAGCACTGAGACTGCCCTGCTTAAAGTCACCAATGACCTTTTAATGTCTGCTGATGAAGGCATGTGCTCAGTCCTGGTACTCCTGGACCTTAGCGCTGCTTTTGACACCATTGATCACAACATCATGTTAGACAGACTGAGGCACTGGGTGGGGATCTCTGGTACTGCCCTAGAATGGTTTTCATCCTACCTGTCAAATAGGAAGTTTTGCGTGTCTGTAAACAACAATGTCTCTTCGTTCTGTCCAGTTAAATATGGTGTGCCTCAGGGGTCGGTCTTAGGACCCATTTTGTTTTCCTTGTATCTGCTTCCCCTTGGACATATTATCCATAAACATGGCATTTCTTTTCATATCTATGCTGATGACACACAAATATACTTGCCCGTCAGATCCACAGACCCTGGAATGCTGAGTTCACTT